TGGCGCGACCCCTCTGAGGAGGTGGTGCAGGATTTTGGACCTTCAACTTGTTTTTGCTTTCTCACTGTGGTGGCCCCAATGTTAACGAGGGAGAACGAGGGCAGCAAGAAAAGTGTGCGCAAAGTGGTGCAGGATTTTGTCCATCAACAGTATGGGGTCAGCACTACTTTGCAGGGATGCAAAACCTGAAGACCTTGTTCCGTGGGTGAGCACATGTTCTCAGTGGCACTGGCATTGACCGGCATCCAGCGAAAAAAAACAATGAAATCAAATACTCACCCCTACATTTGAAAGGCACCCGACGTCAAGTCCTATCAAAGTCTCGTGCTTTTGTTGGGCCACTTGAGAGTTTAGAAGGGGAGCTCCAAGGACTACACTTTTGTGTCAGTTTGGGTTTGTCTCCTTTTCATCTGTTCCGTTCAGAACGGGTCTTAGCCATGTGGCGCCTTCCCCATGAAAAGCCTTCACTGTGAAACATTCAAAACCACAGGCATGTGCCACCCACGGGCGCGTATCACTTGGGCACCAGGTGAGCTGAACAAATGACATCATGCCCGGCCCTAACCTGGGTGAGCTTGTGCTGGCAAACTGTCATTCGTCCACTGCGGCAAATAAACCAATCTCATCTACCTACAAGTCTCCTCTACCAGGACCTTCCAAACCCGGTGGTTTTTGGGCACCTGGTAGACACCTCTATAAGAGGCTGTTTATAGACACCTCGACTGGTGTCGGTCCTGGTAGAAGGTTGTTGGGCCCATGCCCAGGTCTCACTTGGTGACCTGTGAAGTCGGAGATGGTAAGTGGATGTTCTGCACGTCGCCCTGGGCGACCCCCACGTTGCCCATCTGTAGCTCTGAACATCTCTCAACCAGTAGCTGTAGCTTGGTTTTGGCAGAAACCAATGGAACCTCTCCACCCATCAAACTCTTTCATCTCTCCACAGAAAACTCTAGACTCTAAAACATTTTAAAGTTTTCGCCGCTTTGGCCCACTGCGGACGTGTCGAGTCGCAAAAGCGGCCGGACGTGTCGCTCAATCCGGGCGGTCGCCGTCCTCGTGGGAGTTCCGCTCCAGGTCCTCGTCGTGGGAAATGCGCTTCTCCTGGCGCTCGATCGTCGACGAGACGAGACGTGACGTGGGAAGAGACGTGCGCCGCGAGACGAAGCGCTTTTCGACATGAGCAAGACATGAGCAAAGAATATGACCAAGGTTGGTTGAAGAACCCTATATATACTGTCATGAAGGAATCTCATAGGTACCCCAGAATGATGGTCCCTAGTATGGTCATTTGACATCGTGTAACCTCTCTTGGTACCTTTCAATGAGGAGTTCCAAAGTAGAGGGCACTGGTGTCCATCAGGCAGGAGGTCTCTTATCCGTTTTAAGTGAAGGCGTATGTCATGGAGAAAGACTGGAACAAAATTTTCCTTTGCAAGGTCATACAACAAGTCTTTAAGTACTTGCTCACGATGCTGAAGTTCTTCGTGCCACACTCTGCCAACTCCTCTGGGGTGGTTTCTGCTTGAGCTAAACCCATGGCTCCCGGTCGGTGCCCGCTCGTTCACCCCATTTGCTCCCCGCTTCCTGTCGCGCCAAAGCCCCCCGTGCCCAGCGGGCGATGAGGTGGATCACCTGGCGATGAGGTCATCCGACGCATCACGCGGCCGACCCCACGGGGTTTTGAAGATGAAAGGATGGCACTCCCAGCAGTCAAGGGTCACGGGTGGGAGGTCATCTTCAGGGTTGGGAAGTGGAAGGGATGCCACTCCCACTTCCAACAAACACGTCTCGGTGACTGGGGGGGGGTGACTGGGGGGACCCTGACCCCTAGAAGTCCAGTTCGACTATAGTTTGACCGACTAAGGTAAAGGAAATTCCTTGACTTGGGTCACCTAGTCAGACCATTCTAGAATTATACTCTTTGACTCCCAGGGTTACTGTAACTTAGTCCCTCAGTTTCCCTGGGTAAAAAGGGTTAACCTTTTTCAGTGCTTTAGGTTTCACTAAGACAATCACTAATAAAAAACATGCCCTACACACCCAGGACCCACAAGCCCATTTTCCAAGATGACAGGTGCTTGTGACAAGAGCCTTAAGCCCATAGACGAAAGCAAGAAAGAGGTGTGCTTGGACCCTAAAGCGCTGGCATCCTCAACTGAACTTGGTGAGTTGCAGACTCAAGTTTCTCAAGTGCTTTCAGGATCCGAACTCACATCCGCAGCTCACGTCGGCAGCCACACAGGCGCAGCGAGCCCAGCCCAGAGGCACCTGAGCCACACAGACCCAGTTTGAGGCTTTGGAGCCCTGCGCAAGACTTGGCCTTTGACCCAATCCTAAAAGGGGTTGGCTGCAGTGGCTACTTTCAGGCGCCTGTGAACAAACAACATGGCGGATTTATAACGTCCGGGCTATGACCAATGGAAAAGCCCTGCCACTGCCTGTCTCACGCACCGACCCCCTGTCTGCCGGTAAGACGCCAAGATTCAGAACTATGAGCCGGCATCGCCCAGCGCACCTGCAGCGCAGCAGCACCGCAGCGCGCAGAGCAGCAGCGCAGCGGCGCGCCGCCGAGACGCGCAAAACGTGAAGTCACTCGGGAAGAGTCGCGCCGTCGAGATGCACAAAACATGAAGTCACTCGGGAAGAGCTGGTGTAAGATGCAGAGATGTTCGAACAACGTGAGCGACAAAAGAGGTTTTAAGGACCTTGGAATGAAGGAGGTTTG